CCGCGCGCCGCGCCGCGCCGCGCCGCGCCGCGCGTCTTCCCGGCTCCCTCCCTGTCCGGGGCCGGTACTTTCCTCCCAAGTTGCAGCGCAAGTTTGCCAGTGGCCGGCGGCGGCGGCGGCGGCGGCGGCGGGGCGCCGGGAGCCTCCCTCGCCCTCGGCTGGCCGGGGCTCCCCGGAGTGCATGGGCGCAGGTCGGGCGGCCCTGGGGGCCTGAGCGGCCGCGCCGCCAAAGAGCCCCGCGTCATGGAGAGCGCAGAGCCCCGCGTGCGGCCAGAGCGCCTGGCAGAGGCCGAGGCGCGGGCGGCCGATGGCGGGCGCCTGGTGGAGGTGCAGCTGAGCGGCGGCGCCCCTTGGGGCTTCACCCTGAAGGGCGGCCGCGAGCACGGCGAGCCGCTGGTTATCACCAAGGTACGGAGGGCGCGGGACACGCACGGTGACAGCCGGGAGGTGGCCTGGGGCCGAGGGACTCGTCGTGGGGGTAGGAGCGCTGGAGGGGGTGTCCGGTTCGCGCCCCCGGGCCCGGGACGCGCGTCCGCCTGGATCACCTGCGAGGACGTGGGTAGTAGGACTCGCATAGGTGTGTGGTCCGGACGCCACCTTGGCCCCTCTGCGTTGTTTCCCGGTCCTGCTGGCTCCCAGCGCCGAGCAGTTTCAATGGCTCCTGTTCCGGGTCCCCTCCCCTCCCCCTCCGGGGAAGGGCCTGGCAGGGTCCCCTGTCACTCCCGGCTTCGCCTGCGCCGGCCTGCACCTGTGGGCCTACCCAGAGGTCGGGGAGGGGCATTCCCACGTGCCGGGGGTGGACAGAGACGTCCCCACCTGTGTTTGCCTGTCTAGGTACTTGTTTCTGCACCCCTTGGACCTGCACCCGTTATCGCTAGGAAGCCCAGACTAGCAGCTGCCGCCAGCCTAGCTTCTCGATTCCCAAAAGCCCATCAATATTTATTGACTTTCGCTTCCAGCCCTAGACCCACGGCGCTCTGGATACCTGCAGAAACAAATTGAAACTTTTCATCGTCCTTTATGAAAGTGGGATTTGAGCCCCCCTAATAAGTTCCTAGTGTGTGTGCGTGCGTGTGTGTGTGTGTTTGTGTGTAGGGGTTACTTTAGAACTTTGAATTCTCTTGTCTCAAAACAGAAAACCCATCTTGAAACTTACCAGCCGAACCTGTATAAACCTGTAAAAGCACACAAACAGCAAACCAGTCGTCCTGTTTTCTTCTGGTTAAGTGTCTATTGGTCAGTTTCTCTGGGAAGGTCTGGGCCGCGCCATTCCTGGGGACAAAGTTCCCTTTAAAATGCAAAAATTCTTGGCTTCTAGTAGCGTTTGAAGGTGACTTACTGGTTTCCTCTGCTTTCCTGCTTCACCACAGCAGGAAGAACTAAAGTGACTCCTAACCCACCCCGCCGGATTGAATTTGGGAGGCGGTGTGGCTTTGTTGTCTAGATAGTAAATGAGACACTAAACTTCTCTGATCTTTATTTTCTCTCATTTTTATATTTATAAAACTAGAGACTTTGAGGGGAGACGTGCACTGAATTTATGTGGAACCGGGGAAAGAGGCTGTCATTGTTGTTATAAGTTTCACCCATGTGCAACCCATTAATGAATTGGATTCTTTGGAAAAATGTATGTGGTGGAGTAGCCATAGAGTGTACACCTTGTGCAGGACAGGCATTTCCTGCATATACGTGCATTAAGGCATAGTAGCCTGTGGCTTTTCAATAATAAAAGTTTTACCGGGCATTTCTGATGGTAAAAGTTAAAAAGATATCAGGTAAATTACTCAGACTTTTATCGTTTCTAGAGATTCTTTTAAAAAAGAATACGCGCGCGCGCACGTGCGCGCGTGCAATTCGACCTGTCTTCCTTGGACCTGTCTTCACAGCAGATGGAGTAAGTCGTAAAACATTATTTAAGATGACATCTTGCTTTTGGGGCTTATGCAGTGTAAGAAAGCTGGGCTTAAACTCTAAAATTCAGTTGTTTGACCAGAAGCTGGAGAAGGGGACCTCCTCCTTTCTTTGTACCTCAAGTTCTAAAAAACCCCACGCATTCTTAGTGGTTTCTCTTCTGCTTGTGCAAGAGGACCCTGTTCTAGAAACTGAAGGAGGTGGGCAGTAAAACCCATGGGCACACACCAGGGCCTATTCAGGGCACAGGAGGCAGGCAGTCTGCTCCTGATTTTGGCCCCTGGGTTGGCTGTCACGGTAGTTGCTAAGGTGTGTGGGTAGGTAGGGCTAGGCTGGTAGCGGTGTACACGCCCTGCCTTTCCAGATCGTGCTTCAGGATTTTGCAGAAATAAAACTGCTTATGAGTCTTATCTGAGAGCTCATATGTCCCTCCCTTAAACTGCTGCTTGGTTTTTATAGGTGCTTTACAGTGACTGAAGATTTAGGATGCTTAGGATGGAGAGGATTCAGGACAGTGTGGGACATCTGTGACAAATTTCCACGCACGCTTGTGTACACATGCACACACGTGTGCTCACACATGCATATATATATTCCTTAACCACACATTGTATTGCATGGTATTTGCAGTATTTCACCTACGTGTCTTTTCTCCTGGATTAAGTCATCACTGATGCTCGCCTGCAATCCAACAGCTGGTAATTAACTGTCACATTATTAGAGAAGGATAAAGGAAAGCGTGTCCATTATAATCACTTAAAAAATGGAAATAGACTGTTGTGTTGGACACTGGGGATATTTGTTCCACCTCCAGAATTTAGATTAATCCAAGCTTTGAATCTTCTTTTCCCAGTACCTACTAAAAAATCTCTAGGGCTCATTAAATAATAGGCCTTCTAATAGCTTTTTTTCCTTTTTCTTTTTCTTTTTTTTTTTTTTTTTTTTTTTTTTTTTTAAAAACCTTGTAATTAATTTGTTACATATTAGAGCCCTGGGATATTATACAGCTCATTTCTAACAGAATCTGACTTGGAAGAAGCTTGCTCCAGTGTAAGAGGATGCACTCTGTTTATGATGATGAGTGTCTCAGCTGAAAGCCTCATAGGAGTGTACATCTTAGTACTGGAAGTGATGCCAAGAACAAGGCTGGTTCAATCCCTGATCTCCTAATGGAGTTTTTTATTTTATTTATTTATTCATTTATTTTTGGCTGCGTTGGGTATTGCTGCCCACGGGCTTTCTCTAGTTTCGGCGAGCGGGGGCTACTCTTCATTGCGGTGCACGGGCTTCTCATTGCAGTGGCTTCTCTTGTTGCGGAGCATGGGCTCTAGGCGCGTGGGCTTCAGTAGTTGTGGCTCGTGGGCTCAGTAGTTGTGGCTCGCGGGCTCTAGAGCGCAGGCTCAGTAGTTGCGGCGCACAGGCTTAGTTGCTCCGCAGCATGTGGGATCTTCCCGGATGAGGGCTCGAACCCGTGTCCCCTGCATTGGCAGGCGGATTCTTAACCACTGCGCCACCAGGGAAGCCCCTTGATGGAGTTTCATTAGCCCATTTTGTAGATGAAACAGCTAAGGCCAAGGAGGGTTCAGTGGTGTGCCCTGAGGTCACAAACCTGGCAAATCTTGAGAAGGGTCCTCAGGACCACATCTTGACCCTGCATGTCTCTGCTTTCTCTCCACATGGTGCCATCTGCTGTTGTCTGGAATCCCTTGCAATGCCATATTCAGTAACTTTGTCACATCCTATGAGGGTTTTTCAGTCTTGGCACTACCGATGTTCTGGCCTGGATGTTTCTTTGCTGGGGGCGGTGGCGCTGTCCTATGCATTGTAGGGTGTTCAGCAGCAGCCCTGGCCTTTGCCCACTGGCACCACCCCCCAGGTGTGACAACCAGAAAAGTCTGCAGACGTTGCCAGATGTCACCTGGGCACAAATCACCCTCCCTAGAGTAACTGTATATCACTTTTGCTTTGAAAGGATTTTAACTTTGAATGCTTGTGCTTAATTATTCTTTTTGAAGGTACTCAGAGGCCCCTGGCATAGTCAGCCTTGGCGGGGAAGGCTGTTTTCTTCCTAAGCGCTCGCTGGCCCTGATAATAGGCTTTATTTACATAGTAAAACTCAAACAAATACTTGCTTCATCTGCATTTTTGTATCTGGAAAAAGGAAATGGAAGCAGGAACTCCCGAGTGCTGTGTTTCATGGGCATTCAGCGGGGCTGCTTGGTGAGGACTGCCTTTTCTCTGGGGTCGGGTTTGAAGTTAAAGGGATACTGACTTCCCAGGAGTGGCATTCC